CAGCGTATTCCCTCATGCAACCACCCACGCGCAGGTGTGAGACGCCGCGGCCCCACTCTCGCCCCCAACCTTCACGCAGCCGGCGCCCCGCACGTGCCATGGAAAAGTACAACACACACACACACACACACACATACCATATGGCATGAGAGGGAGAGGGGAAGAGAGAGAGAGAGAGTGTGTGTGTGTGTAAATAGATTGGGGGAGTAAAAGACATAAATGGAAGAATGGGGCTCGCGTCCATTCCTTTTCATGGATCGTTTGTGCACATCACCCTTTTGTCATTGCTCACGCATTCTCTACCCACATCCCCACCTCTCTCGTTCTACCTGCGTTTGTCTGTGTGTTTATGTCGGTGTCTATATCCCTGCGTATGTGTGCGGGTATATGTATATATATATACACCGCTTTGCTTTGCTCTGTTTTCATTCATGTTGTCTTTGTTGTTTCAATGTTTCCTCTTTGCTTCATTGTTCATTCATGCTTCTTTGATATTTCTCTTGTTGTTGTGGTTGTTGTTGTTTTTTGTGCCTCCACAGCACAGAACGCATCCACACCCCATTCCCTCCCACACACTGAAATACACACATAGACACACACACACACGCATACATATATATATATATATGNCCCCATTCCCTCCCACACACTGAAATACACACATAGACACACACACACACGCATACATATATATATATATATGTATGTATGTATGTATGTATACATTTATGTACTACCCCGTTGCTTGCTGTTGTGAATATTTCTTCACTTCTTGGCTTTCCCCTTTTCGGTTTGTGTACACGCACAGACCACGGTGTTCGTTTTAAGCGCTCGCTTCAGCCTCGCCACCTCTTCGCGCACTCACTCACAGCTTCACATAACATATACGACCCCGGCGTCCAACTGAACACCGGCGGTTCGCTGCACCGTGTCGGCGCTATGCGAGGTCGAGCACCATGCGGCTGGGGTCTTCGATGAGGTTCTTCACCTTTACAAGGAAGGTCACGGCATCGCTGCCGTCGATGAGGCGGTGGTCGTACGTCAGCGCGACGGCCATCACGTCGCGGATTTTGATCTCGTTGCCAACCACCCACGGCTTCTTCTTTGTGGCGTGCATGCCGAGGATGGCGCTCTGCGGCGGGTTGATGATCGGTGTCCCCATCCACGAGCCAAACACGCCACCGTTGCTGATGGTGAACGTGCCACCTGTCATCTCCGCCATTGTGAGTTTGTTCACCTTCGCACGCTCGCCAAAGTCAGCGATCTGCTTCTCGATCCGCGCAAAATCGGCGGTCTGCACGTCGCGCAGCACAGGCACAACGAGGCCGCGCGGTGTGGAGACGGCGATGCTGATATCCACATAGTCGTGGTAGTCAATGGTGTCGGCACCGAAGGAGGCGTTGACAATGGGCACATCCTGCAGGGCGATCGCGCAGGCCTTCACAAATGGCGACATGAAGCCTAGCTTCACGTTGTGCTTCTTGAAGAAATCGTCCTTGTACCGGTTGCGCAACTCAATGAGCGGTGTCATATCAATCTCGTTGAAGGTCGTTAGCATGGCACATGTATTCTGGCTCGCCTTGAGACGGTCCGCGATACGCTGGCGCATGGAAGAGATGCGCACGCTACGCACGCGCGGGTCGGAGCCTGTCACGGTAGACACAACCTGCGAGGGAGGTGGCGGTGGCGGTGGCGCTGCTGCTGCTGTTGCCTGCGGCTTGGGCTTCGGTGGTGCGGCTTCCTTTGGTGCTGCCGCCTCGTCCNGCGGTGGCGCTGCTGCTGCTGTTGCCTGCGGCTTGGGCTTCGGTGGTGCGGCTTCCTTTGGTGCTGCCGCCTCGTCCCCTTGGGCGGGCGTCGTTGTTGTTGCCGCTGATGCCGGCGCCTCGGCACCGGCTGGGCCCTCCTTCATTGTCGACAGCACCGTGCCAACCTCAACAACGGCTCCATCAGCGTAGTTGATCTGCGTAATGACACCGTTTGCCGGGGCTCGCACATCCACATTGAGCTTGTCAGACTCAATTTGGCAAATGACCTCATCCTCCGAAACGTGATCACCAACCTTCTTCGCCCAGCCTATGACCGTCCCAGAGCTGATGGACTCCGCAATGGTGGGCACGTTGATGCTGATGCAGAAGCGTGTCGCGAGCTTCTGCACATTCCACGTGTTTGTGCGAAGGCCGTGAGTCGTGAAGCGTCGAAGCATGTGGCTTTCTCTCTTCTCTCGACTGTAGTGATTGGTACTAATAAAAAAGCTACCTCCATGGTGAGTGCACGAAATTTAATATACAAAAGGAGCAACAGAGAAAAAAGAAAAACAGAGGTAACGGGAATGGGGCAAGTTACATAGCTGGCCCTTATCGTATCATGCTTTTCACCCATTCCCCCTTCCCGGTGTTGTTGTTGTTGTTGTTGCTCTTCTTCTGCTGTTCAGCGGCGCACGATACTCCAGAGCACGAGACGAATCTCCGGGTCCCACCTCACAACAGCGGTGGCAAAGACGGGCGCCGCGCACACAGCAGCAGCAGCAGCTGCAGCGCCAGACGACGCACATCTCGTGCACGCAAACAGCGCAGCCCAGGTCGCCGCAATACGCGCGTCACACACGGCGCCGAAGTCCCAAAGTTTGAGTTGCAGTGCCACCTTGTCACCAGGCATATGGCTGGCAATGGGATGCATGAGCACAACGCTGACTGATGCCACACAGCGTAGCACCATGCTTGTTCCATTCACTACAATAAGGCCGGCCACCGCGTCGTCGATCCAGCGCAGTCGCAGTACAACGAAGCAAGCAATAATGTACATGGCCGCCTGCGCCACCATAACTCGCTGCGTCAGCCGGAGCGTCGGTGGCGCTGCGGTGGCCCGCACAAACGCGTCGAGCAACCCATTCCATCCCAGCAGCGGCAGCAGGTAGCAGTAGAGCTGCAGCGCCTGCACCGCCTCATGCGAGGCCCAGCGATGCGAGAAGATCCGCAGCAAGAACCCCTCCGCGAGCGGCGGCCCTAGGAGCAGCACTGCCGCACCAAAGTACGAGGCAACGCGCAACATAGTGAAAAGCAGCGCGGCCGCCTCCTTCGGGGAGCCACGGGCGGCGTCACGGCTCCACTTGACAAAACAGGCGCTTTCCCACACACGGAAGATGAGGCGCGCGATGAGGGAGCCGAGATTGGCGACAAGGTCGTAGTGACCCATTGCCGCTGCTGAGCCAAACGCGGCGAGAGCGAAGCGCTCTCCTTCCGTCAGTACGAGGCGCAGGCAGCTCTCACGGAAGAACTGGCACAGTAGCAGCATCTCCCTCGCCGCCTCCACACGCACGGCCCGCCATGAAAGAAAACACCACGGCACACGCTTACGCCACGACAACGATGACTGCAGGGCGGTGCCCCATCGGGCCGTTGCGGCGTACTTCCGCGCCTGCTGCAGCACAGCGCCCTCGCTGCTGCTGTTCCACAGCCGGACGAAGTACACCACTGTCATAATGGCGTGCGCGAGGAACCCGACGGCGAAGCACAGACGCGCGGTCCACGGGTCGCCGCCCAAACCACCACATGCCTTCACAAACGCCAGTGTCACAACAAGACGCACAAGCTGAGCCCAAAACTCAGACGCCACGATGATGCGCACCTGATCGAAAGACTGAACAAGGGCAATGCATGGTTCAGCCGTCAGCGCAACTACAACACTCAGCGCCAGAAGCAGCTCTGGCAACCCCATTGCCGTACTGCCAGCGCTCACCCCACCACTAATCCCATTTAAAGACGTAGCTCCATTCACATGAGAATACGCCGTTAGCGACGGAAACACGTAGATGCCACACCATGATAGCACCTCCATCAAAGCCATGACAGCAACCCCTACGGGAAGAGAGGTTGCCGCACAGTTCATCACCTGTAGAACTGCCTCTCCACTACTCATCTTGTCACGCAAGTTGTGCCGGGCATTCACACTTCGCACGCACTCTCGTGCAAGGAAGAGAACTGTGTTAATGTACAGCTGAGCCGAGAAACTAACGCCATTCTCGCCCGGCGTGAGCTGGCGCGTCAGAACTGTGGTCAGCGCGAACGTCACCAGCTTCAGCGCGACGCTAAGCACGAGAGCGGAGGCCAGCTGTCCCTTGAACCCCATCCCGCCTCCACCACTGTCGCTGGGAGTGTTCATGCTAACCGTACCTCCACAGCTGGCGGTGTCTGTGTGTGTGTGTGTGTAAACGTCACGAAGAGAACGAACACCTGAAAGAAAAAAAAGAAAAGGAAAAGGCACGGCATGGGAAATAAGGAAGATCAGCAAGTTGGGGGGCACACGACTCTCCCTTATGCTTACCGATACGCAAGAGAGAAAGAGAGAGAGATGCACAGGCACACGCCGACACTGCAACGGAGACAAAAGCAGCAGCGGCGACCCATTTAACCGTACCACAGAGAGGTGCGCCTACGCCGGTGTTGCGCTCAGCTCCCGCCGTTGTTATTCTCGCCACTCAATGGGCTGCCGTCGTCCGCGTCCATTCCAGGGATGCGCTCGAGCCGCCGCCGCGCAAAGGTGAGATACGCGCTGTGGCCCTTTGACACTAGCGCGCTGCGGAACTTGTAGCGCCCCGGTTGTCCATCCTCTTCTCGACCACGCTTGTAGACGGGGTTGAAGTCCCGCGTGAGCGCCTCCACCGTACGGATGTCGAGGAACTCGAAGGGCTCCTGCCGCAGCCGCTGCGCCGTCCGCTGTGACTGCTCGATGCACGGCGAGAAGGTACACAGCATGCCCCCTGGGACGAGAACATGCTGCACGTTCTCGATGGCGAGCCACGGCGCCGGCACGTCGAGGAACACGGCGTCCACATGTTTCTTCGGCAAGCCGAAGCCGTGGCGCGGTTCAGTGCTGTCGCCGCAGTCCTCCTCCCCGCCGGGCACGACGTTGTCGTCGTCGAAGGCGGTGGCACACACATCGCGCCAGTTGCAAGTCACGAGGGATGCCGCCAGCCCGTTGCGGCGGAACTCCTGTCGCGCCTCCAGGCAGCGGCCCTTGTGGAAATCAAACGTGTATACGGTGCCGTTCGGAGCGACGGTCTTGGCGAGGGAGTGCGTGAGCGAGCCGCTGCCGGTCCCCGCCTCCGCGACGCGGCAGCCGGGGCGCAGGCGGAGGTTGAAAATGATGACGGCAATGTCGGTGTCATAGATGATCTGTGTGCGGTGCGGCACTGCCAGCGTCCACAGGTCCGCGCTGCTCTGCAGCACGAGGATGGTGGGCACCGCGCGAGTGTCGTCCTTGATGTTGCTCCGGCCTTCAACGCGTGTGCCGAGCGGCCGGCCGATGATGTCGTCGTGGCGGAACTTCCCTTCTCTACAGTGCAGCACCTCCCCGCGGCGGAGCAGCAGGGGCGTCACGTTGAGATGTCCACGCAGTACGAGCACCACATCACCCTCTGCTGCAACGGCTCCGCGCGGCGCTAGCATGCCTTCTCTGTCACTACCCGTGAAGAAATGAAGGAAGAGAGATAAAGAGAGGGAGTTAAAAGTGTTTGTGTATACGTGTGTATGCACCTGATGCTCTCCTGTCTTGCCAATGAACTTCCCACTTGGGGGAGGGAACAGTGTTTTGTACACAAGCGAAGCTCACGCGGAGGAGAGAGAGAGAGAGAGAGTGTGTGTGTAGGGAGGAATGGGCCGGAGAAAAACAAAGGAGATACCCCGCGCCGTACAACAAAACGACGTGCGGCCTTTGTTTGCTTCGTTGCTGTTTGCTCCGCCGTACACACACACACACACACACACACACACACACACACACACACACACACATCCGCCGCCACTCCCCACTCTTCCAGTCAATGTGGGACCGTACTCGGGAGCCATTCGGTACAGCGTATAAGTCGCAGCATAAGTACGAGGAGACACACACTCACAGAGACACAGGCACAGATATCCCCGCCCACCCACTCTCTTTTTTGTTACTTGCTCACTTTTTCCACATCACTAATCCGTCACGAAGCGCTGAATGGAGGCGCTAAGTTCGCCATGGCGCTGTGGCGGTGCCGCGAGATCGAGAAGGATCTGACTCCACTTCTGCACAAGCTCGGTGTGTGGCCGCTGTTTCGAGGGGCTCAAGCGCGGCGATTTCCTTTTCGTGCCGGATGCATCCCTCTCATGTGTGTGGTAGCGGCCCGCGGGGGAACGGTGTCTTCGATGCTGTTTCTGTTCCTCGTGGTGGTGTCGATGTTGACGATTATGATGATGTCGTTCCGGGGACACGGACGCCTTCGCGGCCTGCAGTTTGCTGATGTGCCCCGTAAGGTGCTCGAGGCGGTCGCCAAGTGTACCGACGAGCGAGAGCAGCTGCGAGTTCACTGGGCCCGCATCTGCGGTGTCGCACAGCAGGCCCCCGCCGCCATTGTTGAGGGATGGCGCAAGGCTAGCGTTGCGCACTTCATTGTGCCAATCCTCACGAGCAGCATTAAGGGCCCCGCGCCGTGTGCTAAACTCACGCTGCTGTTCATTCAAAAATCGCAATGCCTCGGAAGAGAAGGGCGTGGGGTGTCGGACTTCTTCCGTGCCGGATTGCAAGGCTGTTGAGGATATCATTTCAGCGATTGGGCCACCACGCATTTGCTGCAGCTGTTGTTGATGATATTGTTGTAATAGTTGTAGCTGATACTGTCGCTGCTGCTGCTGCTGCAGTTGTGGCTGCTCTTGCTCTTGCGGTGGTTTTTGCTCTTGCACCACGAGAGCCTCTCCCAGCCTCGCAATCTCTGCTTTGATCGACTCGAGCTCCGCCTGCATCTTCAACTCCTGTTCCTCATATGTCTTCTCTATCGCGCTAAGGCGCCGTTGGAGCAGCTCTAGCGGAATCCCAGGAGTCTGTGGTGGTTGGCGTTTCGCTGCTGCTTCCGCCGCTGCTGCTGCTGCTTCCTCTTTTCTTTTTTCCGCCGCCTTTTGTGCCTTGACCAGAGCCTCCTCCTTCGCCGCAAGGCGCATTTTCTCCTCCTGCTTTTTAGCCCTCGCTTCCTCCTGTGCTTCAACGTCCTGGCGCTCCTTCTGTGCGTATGCCAGCATCTCCTCATCGATCTCCGCCACAAAGGCGCGGCGCTCATCATCATAGCGGCGGCGGATTTTCTCCTCTGCAGACCGCTGCTCTGCCTCCATCGCCTGCAGCGCCGTCCCCACCGCCTTCTGCTGCGCCTCGCGCAACATCTCCTCCATCTCCGCCTTGGCTTCTCCCAACAGCTTCGCCTTCTGCTCGGCGACCTTCTTGTCGTACGCCTCCTTCGCCACCTTGTGGGCTGCCAACGCCTTGTCACGCCGGCGTTCGAAGTCCTCCTGCTCGAGCCGCCGCTGCGCCTCAGTGGAGCGGATGAACACCTTGACGGCACCCTCAACAGCCCCTGTCACCCGCGCCTCCATCGGGGCGGTGGTGCGCGTGAATTCCTCCTGAAGTGTGGCACGGAGAAGCTCCTCCGTCTCTTGCAGCGTCTTCGCCTTCTGAGCTAGCACAGCGGAGAAGGCCGCACGGAGACCCGCACCCTCTTCTGTTGGAGCAGTTGTGGCGGTGGTATTGGTGGTGGTGGTATTGGTGGTGGTGGCCGTATTCGTGGAGGCAGGGGACAAGGGTGTCGATGGCGTGGAAGACGCCTGCGGCGGCCGCTGCACTGCAGCAAGTTTCTTTCGGCGGTCGTCTTCGAGTACCCGTATGCGTGCCATCTCCTCCGCCCTCCAGCGGCGGCGCAACTCCTCGAGTGCGTCACCCGCCGCTCCAGCTGCTGCGCTGCGCGCGTTTCCGAGAGAAACAGGGGCCGGACCCTCAAGCTCACAGAGCTCTCTGCGCATTTGTTTGAGCTTCCCCTCCATTGCGGTGCGAAGAGTCTCCTGCTCCTCGCGTGATCGACACAGAATGGCGGCGACTTCTTCTTTCTCTTGCGCGCGTATGGCAGCGACTCGAGCGCTGTCACTCTCTGCCGTTGATGCGCCTGTAGATGCCGCTGCCGGTGTTGTCGTTGTTGCTACAGCGCTACTGTTGTCCTGACGCTTCATCGACTCCTCATGTTTCTTTTGCATCGAGGCCATTTCTGTTTTCTGGCGCCGCTCGGCCGCCTCCTTGAGCTGTCTCATCTCTTCCTGTGACTTGTTCCGCAATGCATCCTTCCGTGCCGTGAATTCGGCACGTGCCTCGGCTCTCACCTTCTCTAGTGATGCAGCTGCACTCGTTTCCATCTGCTTCCGCTGCTGCTCAAGCTGCTGTTTCAAGGTTGCCTCCGCCTTCGCCACCTCGCTGGCGACGCGCTGCGTGTGCTCCTCTTTTAGGCTTGCCAGCTGCTGCTTGAGCTTCTCCTCCTCCACCCGCTCGCGGTCAAGACTGGCCTTCCACGTGTCCTCCAGCTCTCGCCGTCTGCGCCTGAGCTCCGCCTCCTCCGCCGCAGCAGCTTCACCACGCACCGCCGCCCACCTCGCCTCAAGATCCTCCCGCAGTCGCGTCAACTCTGTCTCGTGCATTTTCCGCATCTCCTGCAGTCGTTCTTGTTGCATCACCTCCGCCTTTTCCTCCTCTGCCTTGAACTCCGCCTCGCGCTCCTCGCGTATCTTCTCCTCAAGGTTCTTCTCAGCCTCCGACATGATGCGCCGCTCACCACCACCGCCGCCGCCGCTTGGTGTCGTCTGCTTTGCCGCGTCAGCTGCAGGTACCACACGGGGCGGCAGGCCCTTGAGCGTCAGCCCGTTGTTTGTTGTTAGCTTCGTGGAGCCGAGGGCCGACCCGAGTGCCACGGGGGAAGTCGCCGTGGCATCCCTCATCGTTCCTGGTGGTGGCATCTTCATAATGAGTCCCGAGCCGCCACTATTACTGCTGACACCACCCCCACCACCACCACCACCTGCAGTAGTAGTGGTAGTTCCACCGACTCCGCCTCTTTCACGGTTGTGTGCACCACCACCAGTTTTCTTTCGCTCCTTCTCTTTAATAAAACTCTCGCGGAAAAACTCATCCATCGGGTGGTTCCATGTGCTTTCACCCGTTCTAAAGTTGAAGTAGTAGATTTCGTCCTCATTGGTGCGGCACGGCCGCCAGTCCTTCGGCAGAGGCGCCTTTAGCCCATCACGGGCAATATGCAGAAACTCTTTGTCTTCCGGCAGCTGCATCCCCATCCACGCGGCAAACTCCTCAATCTCCTCCTGTGTCGGCTCGTAGTTTCCGTCGGCGTTGTCTTCCAGCACGACGGAGACAGTTCCGTCCTCGCCGACGAACGTCTCGCCGGGTGCAGGGATAACCACATCCGCCTCGGCCGGCATCCCTTGAATACGTGACACGGCAGGCAGTAGCGTGTGTGTGTGTGTGTGTGTGACTGATGGTAGGGCAACACACACTTACGCACGCACGAATTGCCCCAGCACGACACCTGTGGGGTGGGTAGGGGGACGGACGGACGGACAGACAGACAGACAGACAGAGAGAGATAGGGAAAGAGAGGAAAGAAAGAAAGAAAGAAAAAGTGCAACAAGACCACGGCAGATTCATCCTGTCAGTTCAAGCATCTCAGAAGACTTCTATTTTTATTCGACGGGTTTTGGAAGGGAGGGGGGAGGTGGTGAGGTTTGTCATGTTAAAACCATGCAAAACGCATTTTGCAAAACGCAACCACTTCCAATCTCTCGTATGCTGCCACTTTCTATGGCTGTAGCACTGGTGCATTTTGTGGGAAGCAACTCTCATCGGCCTCACAGAGACCCCACACACCAACTGTTACTGTTTTGTGACGTCAGGTATGTAGTTGGGGTCAAGGAAGATCCGAGTCCCCTCTCCATCCTTGATCTCCACTTCAAGTAGGTTTCCATCCTTCAGCATCTTTTGTATGACGAGGTTCACGTACCGCAGCTCGACCTCCAGTTGTGCCTTATTAAGGGAACGCACCTGCTCCATATACCACGTCACTAGCTCCGCACGCGACGGTGGGTCTGACTCCCCGAGTGACTGGATCCGCGAGACGAGGCGGTTCACAATGCTGAAATAGTGATCTGCATTAATAACAGTCTTTCGAGGCGCTGGGGTGGCCGACGCCGCTGTTGTAATGGCTACCGCTTTCTTTCCCTTTCGTCTCGCTCCGGTGGACCTTCCACCCTCCCTTGCCTGAGCTGTCTCTTGCTGCTGCTGCTGCTGTTGCGGTTGCTGCTCTTGTTGGTTCTGCCTTTGTTCACCTTCCTGTGGTTCTCCTTTCACCGCGGCTGACCCAACATCGAAGGGGTCAGTGATGCCGACGAGTTCCACCTCCGTCATGTCAAGCGTGGAGAGGGACTGGCGCATTAGCTCTAGTGCCACTTCCACATGAGCCGCCTTCACATCCTCGCTCATGTATATTTTCGCCGTCGCCTCTGATAGACGAATGATGCTCTCCAGTAGACGTGTTGTGACACGATACACCTTGCTACGATTTGATAGCGAATCCTGTAGTCGCATGTCCCTGTACGCCGAGACGATGAGGTGTACCGCCTCTTCTCGAAGCCGCGGCGTGAGGGAGCGTGTGTAACGCAGGTACAGCTGAAAGTCCTCTACTGAGAAAGGCGGGCGAACAGCGCGGTCACCAAAGCGGTGCAGACGCAGAAGCTGATCCGCAATGGCGTAGTCAGCATCGTCACTCGACTCATCCACAATCACAAACATGAGATCGAAGCGCGACATGATTGGTGCCGTCATGGCCACATTCTTTTGCAAGGGCTTTCGGCGGTCGTACTTGCCACCGATGGGGTTCATCGCGGCGAGGAGCGATGTCCTGGCGCTCAAGGTTGCTTTAATCCCTGCCTTGGCGATGGATATTGTCTGTTGCTCCATTGCCTCGTGGATTGCCACTTGGTCCTTCACGTCCATCTTGTCAAACTCGTCAATGCAGCAAACACCACGGTCACTCAGCATGAGTGCGCCTGCCTCTATGGTGCGGTCACCGGTGTCAGCGTCACGCGTGACAGTAGCGGTGAGACCGCTCGCGGTGGAGGCTTTACCGCTCGTGTAAACGCCACGCGCAGCGTTGCCAGAGACCCACTTGAGGAACTGCGACTTTGCAGTGGATGGGTCGCCAATGATGCACACATTGATGTCGCCGCGCAGCCCAATCTGCTCCACGGTGTTCTTCGACACGCCCCCCACCATCTGCAGCAAGAGGCCCAACTTCACGACGTCGTGTTTGAAAATGTTTGGGGCGATGCACTCAGTGAGGGCCTTGAGTAGGTTGTCGTGGCTCCGCATCAGCCGCACCTTCTGCATCTCCGCTGGCGTGAGCCGCACCGCCTCTCGCTCCGCCGCGCCGTCGGTGGAGTCCTTCACCGCCTCCGTCATTTTGCGGTCGTCGCCGCTCGCGTCGGTGACGGTGGTGGCGAGAAAGCACATGCGGTAGTTCAGTTCCCGCACACCAAGCACCCGCAGCCCGGTAGCGCCCTCCATGTCCTGCTGCGCCTCCTGTTGTGCTCGCTGCCCGCTGGACATCTCCCGCTGCACCTCGCGGCGGTTGGCCTGGTTGAACAGCTTCGCCACCTCCGGGACAACGATAGGGCAACCGACCGCAACGATGCGGTCACCCGGCTTCGCCACCTCCACCGCATCGTTGCGGGCGATAAGCTCCATCGTGCGTGGCATGCTTCCAGCTGGAATGTTGTTCGCATCCTCTTGTAGTCGTATCTTCTGCCAGTCCCCGAACCTCGTGTGCGGATGGGTAGGAACGAGCTGAAAACGGTTCTTGTTCTCGCACTGTGGATTTCGACAGGCAGGCGGCTCCGTGTAGTGGAACTGCTGGTCAACTGGATTGCTCTCTGTCCCGCAGTCACCGCAGCGAAAGACGCCAACAATCAGCTCGGGACGCACCTGAGAGGTTCGCGTCACGACGCCCTTGATGGAGCACAACTGCCCCACCAGCGATGCGCGCAGCACACGAATGCTCAGGCAGCGCGGCACACACGAGAACACCAAACTGGGGCTGCACTTGCCACGATTGGCGTACTCCTCTGCGTAGTACTGCGAGAGCACCTGGTGCAGTGCGGCGTCCATGAAGGGCGCGAACCGCTGGTAGTCAAACTCAATCGCAGTGGCGGCATCCTCGTCAAAGAGGCTAAAGTCGTTCCATCGCACGACACAGGTGGACCAGTCGGTGCAGGTGCTGATACGCTCAAGTTGCTGCACAATGTACTGCATGCCAGAGAGTTGTGCTGCGACATGTGCTGCTGTTTCTGCTTCTTCTTCTTCAGACATTGCGCACCGCAGCGACGGGTCCACCAGGCGGCTCAGAAACATGTACATTATGTCACGCACTCGCGTGCCATCGGCATCAACCTCGAGAATCGCCGACGGCTCCTCGCGCGGTGCCCCCGCGTCGCTCACCAAGGCGGCGGGGTTCATCCGCTACCTTGCCCACCAAAACCAGCCTTTACGCAGGCAGCAAACGCAGAAAAGAAGGAACAAGAGAACAAAAAAAATTTTTTTTTGTCATGCGGCCGTGCCCGAAGCACACAAAACACACATGCAAGGTGGAGGTATGGCAGTGCGATCATCAGGTGCTGCACCCCACCTGGAGAACTGCACGGACAACAGGCAAGCAACGCAGAAGACTTCCAACGAGTGCAGTGGCGGTGCTCAGACTCCACCCAAAGGAACACGAAACCCCTCCACATGAGACAAGCCAAAACAAAAAATGTATTACCCGGGAAGTACGGCAGGGAGAGGCATCATCCATGCGCATAATATGGGAAAATCTGCGTTGTCCAGGTAATCGTGAGCCCACCATCACGAATATTTAAGCAGTATCACGCGTCCCACACATCTGCAGCAGCCAACAGAACACAAAACAAGAAACAAATAAATAAATGGTGCTCGAGAAGCCGCACAGAAGAAATACCTCCGTTTCTCCTTCAACCTTCACTTAAGGAGCCTAATAAAACCAACCCAGAGCAAAAAAAGAAAACAGCCAAATAAAAAGGAATGTTTAAAAAATAAAATTGGAAAAGACTACACATCTTTTCAACGGTCGATAGACACCAGAGGCTTACTGCAACGCAATCGTTTGCTGCATCCACCCGGGACACGCCCTGCTGAAAGCGGACCCCCACTGCGGCTAAGCGGTTGCATATAATCCAACGATGTGGGGTGTCCTTCATCACTGCTCACATAAGCATCACGGCAACTCCACGAAGCACAAGCGAACCAAGAAAAGCAGCAGTAGAGGCCGCAACCATACTGTCATCGATATTTTCTTCACAGTGGTGTTCGACGTGGCGCCCTTGTGTATTTCCCCATCGCCACTCTCCACGCCATTCTTTTTTGCAGCACTCACATCACCACCACTGACAGAGGCGTCTAGTGCAGGCAAGGGCAACGTTCCTGGGATGGAGGAGTTGGCACCCTCGGGCCCAGCAGCACCGCTTGATGGCACAGTCCACCTGCCCCCGGAACGGCGGGGAAACGTCGACAGCAAGACTGCTCCTCCCCTTGGAGGTGATAATGTACACCTCATGATACTTTGGGAACATACAAAGAAACTCATCCGGAACGAAGCATCGCGTTATCTATAAACTGTAGCCAAACCAAAAAAGCGCCACCACAAGGAACATGTGACGAATCCGTTTGTGCCACTTCCATTGGAAGTATGTGAGGGCCCACGTGTCTTGTTACCATGGAACCTGTTTCGCCCTACTCCTTTGCGCCCAAGAGCAGATAGTAGCGCATTCTCCTTCAGTGCACATGGCGAAATGCCGAGTGGGCCGCGGCCGCCCCTTCCCCCTCAGATTGAACGGCACCCTTGACGTCTGGATGCCATTTCACGTTTCACCTCCCTTACTGTTCCTCCTGCTGGATTCCTGCAGAAACCTTTGTCGTGCACCGGTATCGCGGTGGGAAACGTCCACGCCTCATCCTCCATTCTTACTCTCGAGTATGTCTATTTGTTTGTAGTTTTGAATACCCTTCCCACTTGCAGTGGCCCTCTCGCGCCTTACCCAGGCGTCACTGTAGGCGCAGACACGCACACAATAATATCACCTTGATTCTTTTTTCATCTTAACCTTGCTTCGCAGTAGTACAATGGAGCATGACAGGAATGCCTAAGGTCACATTCATGTTGTTCAAATTCACCACAATGGGTTTTATTAGCGTTTTTGTTTGTTTGTTTGTTTGTTTGTTTTTTCGTTTTCTTCGTTTTAGTTTCCATAAATACTTTTTTTTTTGTTTTCTACTCCTGGGTGTGTGCCATGGTNAATGGAGCATGACAGGAATGCCTAAGGTCACATTCATGTTGTTCAAATTCACCACAATGGGTTTTATTAGCGTTTTTGTTTGTTTGTTTTTTCGTTTTCTTCGTTTTAGTTTCCATAAATACTTTTTTTTTTGTTTTCTACTCCTGGGTGTGTGCCATGGTAGTAGAGCAGCGGGGTTCCCTGACCCAGCAGACACCACTGGGACACAATATTGCCTTACCTGGTACAGAGACACCTCGAGAGAGGGAGCAGAGAAATAATGCTTGAGCTACATAAAATCATGTGGAAAGGAAAGTAGCTTCATTTTTCAACTTCTACAGCCATCATCATCATTAATCACCATCCTTGATCACAGAAGCGACATTATTTGCTGCACAATCACTTCATACTGCTAGAAAATAACATCAACCCCAGGCCCAACAATGCCCCCCAGAAAATGCCCACCGCCAACGACAAAGTCCAGTGGCCGATATCCCGCAGCGGCCCCAGTGCGCACAACACACCAGAGAAGAGCACAACCACCAGCAGCACCAAAAGATGAGCTGTAATTGCAATCTGGCCAGTGCGGATGCATGATAGAACCACTGACACATTAAGCGTAAGTGCAACGCCTATACACGCAATGCAGGAAGTGAAAATGGAAGGCAGTGCAAATTTGAGTGCCCCCTGAAACGCCACCTTACGAGTCACATCACGTGCGAACAGATGTGAAGTGTTGATCCGCAAGAAGTCAAAGTAACCAGAGGCAAGATTAACCAGGTACTCAACCGCAATTGGAACCACAGGAATCACACACAATTCCAGAACGGCATCGAGCTTCCAAGACATCACGACACACGCCACAAGTGCGCCGAACAATACGGTCATTGCACCTAACGTGAGCCCGATTGCCACCACAATGCTTATAAAATATATATGCACAGCAGCCAAGGTGAACAAACAGCCAATTAAGATTACCAAGAGGAGGGTATGTTCTGATTCCACCTCGGCGATGGCGGGGGGCCACGAGGGGGATGACACCCACACATTTATCCGGGTCTCGTGCAGTATTCCACTAATGTTCTCTAGAATTTCTCGCTCATCCTTGTAGTTCGTATTAATATCCCCCGCTGCTGCATCGATTCTCGTCTCGGAGTGTGAGTTAAGCAGCATATAATTCCAGCTCAGCGGAGTCCCGTGCTGCATGCTGAACCCAACCTCCCTGAAACGTCGGTTGGCGGCCGCAAAATCAAACACCGACTGCACGGATGGGACGTAGTTAAGCCCCACACTCTGCAAGTAGTCTGCAAGAAAGCAGCTAACAGGGAAAGGCCTCATCATACTGAGAGCAGCACAGAGGCGCAGAACAGCTTTGCACCAGGAGGGATCACCAAACATTTCACCCATATTCGTCAAGCCTAGAAAGTATGTAACATTAATGGGCGGGGCGCTCGTGTCATTACAGTTGTTGTGTCCTCCACACAAACCGCAGTCATCAGCCACAAGTCCACTATTCGGGATGCCGTCACAACCACGGCAGAAGCCATCACCACCACACACCCCACACGCATCCGTCACCACCACAAGCGCTGGATCAGTGTACGACAGACCGTTGCACCCAGTGATCGTTCCTTCCACCGTACACGTGCTACCAGCGGGGCCAAGACAAGTGTCACATGTGGATCCCCCCCAGACAGTGGGTTGATTGCAGCTGCAACTCAGTGCGGCATCAACCGCAGGAACGTCATACGCCCTCGCCCAGTCACACGTTGCCGTTGTTTTGTCCCACCAGCATTCGGTATCGGCATTGCATTCTTGTTGTCCGTAGGCTTTGCAATACGAGGTGGAGGGCCCCTTCTGTATTTCACAAGCAGAGCACGCCACTTCTTCTTCCCTATCCACCTCAGTGCAGTGCTCTGAAATGCATGTGCGAATATTCCAGTACTCCAGTGACGGTTCAGGGCAGTCACCTTTCGCAACGCAGCCGGCAGCACAGGCCTGGCAACGCTCACCCTCAAAACCACCCTGGCACAAACATGCACCTGTGGTCGGGTCGCACATGCCACCATTGAGGCAGTCGCACAGCTGACATGACGGGCCTCGCCAATGGCCGATGCAACCGCATCCGTCACCACTGGGCAGCGGCGACTCCGCAGCGGTGAGCCATCGTCCCCGCAGCGAACAGTTGGTCGCGAGTTCGCAGCGTTCCCCGGCGTATCCTGGAAAGCACACACACTTCATGGAAACTGTGTCGAACATACCATGGTCACACTCCACTTTAGTCACATTGCAGTATACACCAATCATCCCAGGAGGGCAGCGGGTGCAGCGGCCGACTGATATATTGCACACGCACTCACTGCTGTCATGATCGGCGTCGCACTCCAATGTGCAATTGGGATTTACATTGTGTGGGAGAAACCCCTCGCGACACTCACCGCATGTCTCCCCTGTAAACTGCTCTTCGCAGACACACTTCGCAGTGTAGCCATCACAGTGTCCGTGGGACCCGCATGTATCCTTGGTGCACTTCACGGAACAGTTCGTTCCACCCATGTCGCTGATATTCAGTGCCCACTCACAGTACGGACAGTCGTGCTGCAGCTGACATGAGCACGCGTCTACAGATGACTCGCGGTCCACGCACCCACCGCACATCGACTCCTCATGCGTACCGTTGACATTCCCTGCACAGTCTACACATTCATTTGTGCCGTTGCAAACATCGCAACGATCCACGAGCATGTTAATCTGATCGGTATATCCCTGTGCACGACAGATGCTCAAGTCCCTATCGCTTGCCAAGTGAAATCTATCCGCAGAGGCGTAGTACGGACCACAAAACTCACATGTTCCTTGCTGCCCAAACACCCCATCCAGCGCGTGAAACACATCTGCACGGCCGTCGTCATCCAGTATAGTGAACAGCTGCGGGCCTGGCACGACCCTCAAGCCAATAACGCAGGAGGTTATGAAAAGGGCGAGGAGGAACACAACAAGAAGCCACCGCACCTTGTACAGTGCTGGAGCAAAGAAGCTGTAAGAACAGCTTTCTACAACGTCGAAGTCAACGCGCTTCATCTTCCGCTTCATTATCCGAGCATCGCGCTGCTCGGGTGTCTCGTCCATGCGTGTGCCAAGCAGTCCCCAGCATCCCTGCCGTCCGTGTTCGTGCCGGTGTCTCCAACGGTACTTCAGCTTGCGAATTCCCCATCCGGTCAACTCTTCTTCCTCAACGGCATCTATATTTGTCTCAACGACGACATCAGTGGAGATTCTACTTGGCGCCCCGCCACCACCGCCACCAACACCGTTGCTGCTACTGTTGCCGCTACCAACTACCCACGAGAGGCTTTGGCTCTTCACAAGGGCACGAACTGCCAGAGGAAGTAGTTGATTATCCGCAGCACCCTCGACACCAAGCACGTCGCCCACATGTCTCCACGACATCGCCCACGTCTCGATCGAGTTACACTCGCCACCTAATTCCTCCGCAATGCGCTGGACTTCCGGCGGGGCGGTGGGCGGCTCCGTGGCAGGCTGGTCTGAAATGGCGTTGGACATTGCCGTCCAGCTGGTGACACTTCGTTGCGTCATGGGGAAAGGAATGTGGATGACATCTGATTGGCGCACCATCCGCGGATTGAAATACAGGCAGCGCGTACTTCTCTCGGGCATTGACGCTTCCACCCCACCCAGTGGGTTAGCGAGGCCCACTTCTATGAAATCATCTATACAGAAAGCGGGGAGTCCGTCTTCTGCCTCATCCAGGTCCTGCCTGCGCCGCACCATTTCTTCTTTTCTCTTTCGGGCCTTGTGCATAGCGCCAGCAATTCCTTGCCGTGTATCCCACACTGCCGTGGCCGCTGCTGCCTGAAACTGCCGCTGGAGTCGCTTCCTCAAAGATCCCCGGCTGACTCCTTCACCCTCACTTGCGCTTTCTCCGTCGCCTGCCTCTATGGATGCTGGTTCATCCTGTATCTTCAGCTCGCGCAACACTGGGAAGAGGGCCTCCTGACGCGGCATGACCTTTGCGTGGTTATTAATGATGTCGATCTGCTTCTGCATGTCACGCCGCCTGTTGGATAATATGAGGTGGTGTAGCACAAGGACAGCTGGGGTCACCAGGGTGATTAGGTACACGTTGATGATCACAGCCACAAGAAGAAGGAAACTGTTCTGCCGGACAACCATGTAGCCAGAGCGGGTGCCGACGGCAAAGAGGCTGATAGCAATAATGTTTGCAACCCACACACCGCGCGTTGCATGGCGCAGGGTGAACGAGACACGCTGGTCCAGGCTTAGGTTGTTCCGTCGCCCTGATGTCGGCATGCTACCACTAGCCACAAAGGTATCGAAATAGCTGAGCGTTGCGTGCATGGTAAACGACATCACCCATACAACGGAGGGCACCAGAAAAAAAGGAAGAGGTCCTCGTGTAATTGCCAATATTCCGGCGGCGCTGAACATCACAAATGGCACCAACACCGCTGTGTAGACTCCTATCACGAAGGACCCGGTGTGTACCCAGGTGCAGACGAAGCAGATGGCCATCGCGATGGGTATCTTCAANCCGCTGTGTAGACTCCTATCACGAAGGACCCGGTGTGTACCCAGGTGCAGACGAAGCAGATGGCCATCGCGATGGGTATCTTCAACGATTCATATTGCATCTCGTTTATTGTACGTGTGTCTTCCACTGAAGGCCCACTTATTGTAAATACCAAATACGGGTGTGATACATTAAATATGGCTCTAAAGGCGGTTGCAACAAACCGAATGTATGACATGCGGTATTTGATGCTTTCCATTTTGTCACTCTTATCTGGTGACGATGCAAGCGTAAACTGCGAGCGCAAGTACGCAGCATGTGGATTGTTAGACGACACACCATGATCTGTGAACCAGCGGTAGTTGGAGTTGGAAAAGAGAAGCGGCAGTGGGTTTGTCTGCACAACTGGGCCAGCTCCATCCATGTGCCACTTCCCCGCTGTATCACGGCGCGGGAAGTAGTATTGTGTTAGGGAAGATACTGGAGCACATATTGGCGCCTCCTCCTGTAACGTGCCGTACTCAAGGTTATTGGTAAAACATAACTCTTTGTAGTTGCTAGCCTGCTCAATTTTGTCCTCTACGAGCCGCAGGGCTTGCATGTTGCGTGGATCCAAGAGATTGGCGCTGCCTTCCTGCTGAAAGGCGCTTAATTTTTTATAGTCCACCGCAACCCG